AATCGATAGTGAGACCGAATGTGAGATCGATAGTGAGATCGATAGTGAGACCGAATGTGAGATCGATAGTGAGATCGATAGTGATATCAAGAGTGAGATCGATCGAGTGCGACGTTGGTCCCTCCCCCCCCTCACCTCCTTATCACCCGAAGGGTGGTCGTATAGGTAAAGAAGTGTAAAAAAATACACCAACAGTGCTCAACAATGCTCAAAACATAGTCCCCCGACTATGTTTAGACTATTTTTGAATACTCCTCCTGTAGAGGGGCACGCCCGACTTAACCCATCGCCCTTTCCTCTCGGGCCCCTCGTCCGCCCCTCCCCCTCCGCCCCTCGCCGGCCCCCTCGCCGGAGATCGGCCCATGTTCGGCGTGGTCCCCGCCTGCTGCGCCATGCGGCACACACGGGCGGGGACCACTGGCAGCGTCTGAAGACACCCAATGCCGTTAGGAGCCAGGAGCCAGGAGAAGGAGGAGGAGGAGGAGGAGGAGGAGGAGGAGGAGGGGGAGGGGGGGGAGGGGGAGGAGGAGGAGGAGGAGGAGGAGGAGGAGGGGGAAAGAGAGGGGGAAGTCCATGGAGACGTCATGACAACTGCATGGACGTACTGAAGAAGACCACGGGACTCGCAATGCCACTTAGCACAGTCCAGCCAGCAGCCTCCAGGTACACACGCTGCAAAACAAAGCATGCCATCGATCGCCCACTCGGGGAGCACGGCAAGAGACAGCAGCGCGACATTTTCACGGGGCGCTGCCTCGAAGGGAAGCACAAGCAAAAAGAGGAGCATAGCGACGACAGGCTTGCCACAAGCATCATCACAGCGCACAAGTGCCCTCCATCCCTCAAACACGGCGCACCCCTGGCGCCACGCTCGAGCAAAGAAAGAGGATCGTAGCAGCGGCACGCCGGCAACAAGCATCACAGCGTCCAACTCCCCTCCATCCCTCCCACATCCAGAGGGAACCTGGGCTGATCGCGCCCCAGATGAGCACTCGACGTGGCAATACGCACTGGCAGATACGCGCACGGCTCCAGTGGCAGGGGCAGTGGGACAGGCAGGCGGAGGGACAGCGAAAGAGTGGGCGGGGTGTCCTTCTTGGCCACGTACGCCTCCACCCCAGCCAGCCCATCCTCGCGAGCTCCTTCCGCAGAGATCCGATGCTTTTTCCCTACCTAGGCTCTCTCTTTCATAAAGGGGCCGGGCAGTGGAACTCGCCCCGGGCGGTTCCCCCAGTCCCCACCCCGCGGTTCCCCCAGTTGCGCCCCCTGGGTTCACCCAGCTTAGCTTAGCTTTAGCTGAGCTTTAGCTGAGCTTTAGCTTAGCTTTAGCTTAGATTTAGCTTAGCTGTAGCTTAGCGTTAGCTTAGATTTAGCTTAGACTTAGCTTAGCTTTAGCTTAGGTGTAGCTTAGTTTTACCGCAGCGTTAGCTTAGCTTTAGTCTAGATTCAGTTTAGTGTTAGCTTAGCTGTAGCTTAGATGTAGCTTAGCTTTAGCTTAGTTTTAGCTTAGGCTTAGCTTAGCTTTAGTTTAGCTGTATCTTAGCTTTAGCTTAGCTTTACTGTTACTACTAGTGCTGCTTTCCTAGCGGATCCAACTCCTAGGTAGGGTCGCACTGGGATAATTCGCCAAAATGCAAAGCTACGTTCGGACGTCACACATCGAACATCGTGCCTCAGGCACGTTGTGGAGTGCATTCAGGTCCTTGATGCACGCCGACAGCATGTGATGCCAGCGCGCGGGTTCCCAGACAGCTCACTCGTGCAGCACGTGAGGCGCCCCGCGCGTGTGGAACCCCACGCGGGGGGGAAGCCGCCCCCGCGCTCCCCAAGAGGGGGCCCCCGGGGGCGCGGCCTCGGTGCTGCGGGGCCGCGTGGAGCCCCCACGCGGGGGGGAAGCCGCCCCCGCGCCCCCCGAGAGGGGGCCTCCGAAGGGGGCGCGCCCGGGCCGTGCTGCGGGCCCGGCCTGGGGGCGGGCCTTCGGGGCCCCCGGGGGGGATGGGGGGGGGGCAGCGGGGGAAGGGGGGGGGGGAGGGTGGGGCACGGGCGGCGCCAAAGGGGAGGGAGGTAGGAGGGGAGGAGGAGGGAGGAGGAGGGGAGGAGGGGGGGGGTGGCGGGGGGGGGGGGGGGCGTCCGCGAGGGGGCCCTGGAGCGTGGCAGGGAGCTCGCCCTCCCAGGGCCGCCTCGGGACGCACGGGCGGCCTCCAGGCGGCCTTTCCTTCCCCCCCCCCCACGGGGGAGCGCGCGGAGGCCCTGGGAGGCAACGGGCGAGGCCCCACGCGCAGAACCGGAGGAAAGGAGAGCGCCAAGGGGGGCTGTTCACGTGGCCCGCTGGGGGAGGGGCCTCAACCGTGCCGCATGGGGGTTGGCCTCATCCTAGGCGCCGCCTCCTCATGACCGTAAGAATATCAAGGCATCTAAGCCCCGCCGCCGCATCGCCTCCGGGCGAGCAGACTACGATGCCGCCGCAGAAGCCGACCGCCCGAAAGCGGAAGCCGCCGCCGACTTAGCCGTCAGCCTCAGCCGCAGAGACGACGCCGACGACTCCCTCCGCCTCTCATCCTACGCCTACATCTCCCGCCCGCCTCCCATCCCTCCCTCATCCCTCCTCACTTCCTCCCTACTCCCTCCTTCCCTCCTTCCTCCCTCCCTCCTTCCTTACCTCCCTTCTCCCTCCCTATCCTCCTCCCTCCTCACTCCTCCCTCCTCCCACTCCTCCCTCCTCCCTCCTCCCTCTCCCTCCTCCTACTCCTCCTCCCTCCTCCCTCCTCCTCCTCCTTCCTCTTCCTCCTCCTCCCCTCCCTCCTCCTCCTCCTCCTCCTCCTCCTCCTCCTCCTCCTCGGCACTTCGGGGAGCAGAGCCGCGGGGGGCGAGCGGCGGGCCTCACTCTCTCCAGGCGCCCCCCCGGGTGAGTGCCCTGCGACGAGGCGAGAATGGGAACGACGCAGAGAGACGAGGAGGGCGCCCCACGAATCGTGTCAAGGTACAGGGCGACAGCGAAGGCTGTCTCCAGATTTGCCGAAAGCATGTGCATGTGGACTGCATCTCCAATCGCACTCGACCTCGCTGCCACAGCTCAGGGCACGGCGGCGGGACGAACCGAAGGCGACTGGACCCGTCGCCGACGCATCGCCGATGCATCGGCGATGCATCGGCGAGGCGGCGCGAGCCTCGGACCCCACCTGCGAGGCCCAGACTCGAGCCTGTCGATCCACCCTTCCCTGACCCTCCCGCCCAGCCAGGGCGGCAGGGAGGCCCGAACTGGTTGGTGGGACCCCAGAAAATCGGCCAGGAGGAAGGGACTGGGCCACATCCGCTCAAAACCAATCCCCTGACCCCTCCTTCCTGGAGTCCATCTGGTGAATTCTTTCACCCAGGATCCGATTCTGACGGCCTCGGGGCCGAAAACGGCCCCTGGAGGCAGAACAGCGCCCCCCCCTCAAAAAAAACCCTCCGCGCCTCAAGCCTGGAACCTCGAACCCGCCCGCCCTCGCTGCTGGCCAGGACCAGTGCTGGGCCACCTCAGAGCCCACCGCTGGCTCCAACTTCCGACTGCCTCCCCCTGGGTGGCGACGTCTGAACCCCGCCCCACCGCCCACAGGCTGGGGCTCGGCGAGGGCAGGGTTCGGACTTCGCGGCCGACCCCCGCCGAGGACAAGAGGTGAGCATATGGTCGGAAGCGGATGAGAGCAAGGGCCGGAGTCGCAGAGGCAGCCGGAGCCATATTGAAGCCGGAGTCGGAGAGGCGGGAGCAGGATTCGGAGAGATGAGAACGGGTGCCGGAGTCTGAGCATCGTGTAACCGCCCCCTCTCCCCATGGGCGTGGCCCGGGCCCCACTGGCCGCTGTAGCCCCCCGATGGAGATCTAGGCCGCTCCCTTCGGACTTCGAGGGGTATATCCCCAGCTGGGGTGCTGAGATGGCGGGGGTCTGGATGGAATGGAGATGGGGATGGGCGTCGGTTAACGGATCCTGAGGAGCCAGAGAGATGGGAGCAGGCAGTCGCGGCCGACCCCCCGCCGCGGTCCTGCCCGCCCGCCGCGGTCGAGCAGGCTCGTCCTCTGCGCCAGCGGCCAGTCCGCCGCCTTCTCCGCCAGGACCCCGCTCACCGGCACCGCCAGGCGACCTCGACGCCCGCCGGCTGCCAACGATTTCTGTGATCACTCAAAGGCGGAAGGGGCGCCGCAGTCGACAATCCCAATAGCCTTCAGAAGCCCCTCTGTGACTCTGACGCCACCCACAAGGGTGGCAACGAAATGACCACCCGCACCGCCCACCCCATGGACCTGGGGCAGAGCGGACCGCAAAAACACATTGGCAAGCGGCCCAACAAAAACTCGAATGCCTAATGAAAACTCGAAGGCCTAACACAAGAACTCGAAGGCCCAACCTAAAACTCGCAGGAAACGCACGGAGCCACCCGGTGCGTCCTACAGAGGAGGCAACGCAGGCTGAGCACGGGGGGCAAACAAAAAGACGAGCAAGCCGACCAAGCCCTGTCGGGCTACGCGCGGGGGGGGGGCCTACGGCTCGTCCCTGACCGCGACGACCCCCCGAAGGCGCAGAGGGAGGTGGCCATCGGACGGGCCAGCCACCCAGCAGGGCTGAACCTAAACGGTGTTTTTCGCTGTCGTTTTGTTCTCGTTTTCCCTCGCTTTTGTCTCCAATCCGCCACTACCGCAAAACGGAATCGAAACGAAAACGGCCCACGAGATCACCAAAAACACCGTTTAGGTCCAGCCCTGGGACGAGCCAGCCACCCAGGATGGCCAGGAGACAGGGCGCAGCCCGTGGCCGAGCACGGTTGAGCCAAGCCGAAGGCGCGACGGGGCGCCGAGGCGGGACCCGACCCGGAGACCCAAGGCGGAGCGGCCAATCACAGGCGCACGAGGCCAAGCTGCGCCTGGACCGGGGCCGAAAGCGACAGGAAGAGCGGCCCGAGTTCTAGGACTGGCTGCGCGTCACCAGCACCACTAGGCTTATGTCGGGCACCACCACCAAAAG